GCTGAAGCAAACCCTCTAAGGCAGCTTCTCTTCTTCCAAAGGGAAACGTCTCTACTCAACATTATTCCTTGAAGCAAAAGAGGGGCTGTCTGCTTAATTTCCCATCAGGTGGATGGATTTGGACAATGGACCAGCTTTTCTGCAGGGGGAGTGAAATCAAACTTCATTTAAGAAGTAGGACGTCATCCTCAATGGAACCAGAGGGAGGGGGATTCCTGAAAGACCTGGGATTTTTGAACAGAGGACAATTGATTTGATTTGATTTAATAAATTTATAGGCTGCCCAATCCCAAAGGACTCCGGGCAGCTTACAGAAAATAAATTTTAAAGTGTGAAGAGTTAAAAAAAAACGGAGGAAAACAAATTAAAAAACCACATCATGCACCCAGTCTAATCAGGGCTGGACCTCGGTCAAGAGGTCAACAGCCCCAGGCCTGCCGGAATAGCCAGGTTTTGATAGCCTTTTGGAAGGCCATGAGAGTGGGTAGGGTCCAGATCTCTGGGGGTAGTTCATTCCATAGGGTCGGAGCGGCTACAGAGAAGGCCCTCCCCCGGGGAGCCGCCAGCCGACATTGTCTGGTTGAACTTGGGCTGCAGCACAACCCGGAGCAGAACTGTGTTGTTGCGAACTTGCACAAAGCCAGACCAGGCAAGTAAGACGAGAGGGGCAAGGAAAACCGGGCAAGACCAGCAGGGCAAGAAAGCAAGGCAAGGATGGCAAGACAAACAGGGCAGGCTTGGTAGGGAGGACCTCATAAGTCACTGGACATGTATATTTCTCATTAGCTACAAAAGTCCATTGTGTATGTCAATAAACAATAGAAGGCTTTTCATATATTCTTGTCCATTTTTCATCCTGTTCTGAAAGTATCATAAGCTGGTCTTGAATAGCAAACAAGGGTTATCTTCTTCTTAAATGTGTTATCTATACACTTTTTTCAGCTTTTGATGATAAAAAGATTTCAATGCAAAGATTCAATGCAAAGAATACACTTCATCTGAAAAAAGATTCTGAGTTTAATTCCCAACATTTCCTGATCATTCTGTAAGTTCTTGTTAGGAATCCCGGAGAAACATTATCAATCAGTGCAGATCATATTGAGATTGATAAATTCAAAGTGTATTAAAGGGATATTGAAAATCAATATGTCTTTAATGTATGTTGAATCTATGGAATCTTTGAACTGATGCTGAATCAGGTAGAGACTCTGTAATCTTAGCCCTACATCTGTTTTCAGCAGAGGTGGGTTGATCCTGGTTTGGCCTGGTTTGGCTGAACTGGTAGTGGTGGTGGGAGGCCGTGCATGTAATCACGAGTGAACACAACCATGCATGCAAGCACAAGTGAACTGCAGGGTTGGGTTCCGGCAGCCACTACTGTGGGTTCGCTCATGGGTGCGCAGCTATGCTATGCATGCACAGTACAATGAAAATTGTTCTGCGCATGCACAGAAGCCAAAAACAAGATGGCGGAGCCTACGGTGCTGCCAGGAGAACCAGTTCAGGGGAGTGGCAGGCCTGGGTCACTGCCACTTCCAGTGACCCAGGCTGTCAAACCAGTACCAGTTCGGCAGAACCAGTCTGAACTGGTAGAAACCCACCACTTTGCTTTTCCAATAGAGTGAGGGTAAACGGACATTGGGACGTGCAATGTCTCAATGTTTTGATATCAGAGATCTTTGTGGCTTGTCTTCAAGCTGTTTCAGAGGATCTAAGGAATGCAGCTTGTTATCTTAGTGCTGGCAATGAAATTCATAAAATATAATACACAGGCAAATCTGATGCCTTATTGTTACTAGTTGAGAACCTGATTGCTTCTCAAAAGAAAAGGCCTACATATGTTCCTGAATGCTCATAATGACTAAAATGTCTAAAAAAACAGTACTGACTTCTTAAATTCTTTTCAGATTGTCTTAAAAACCCTACTAATGTGAGGTACAGAGCCATCAGCAATCAGAAATTTATTGTAGCATGTGACCTACTATCTGAAGACACTACATCAATTTATAACCATTCTCCTCTTTATGAAAATAATGTGATGTGGTTTCGGCAATCCAGTGAAGGAGCAGCCACTATGATCCTCAGTGATAAAACTGCCAATCCTACTCCTTGGAGGAATTCACTTTGGTTTAACCCAATAAAGCCAGAACATTCTGGAATATACATTTGTATGAAAAGGTTGGTTGTGTGAATGAGCTTCTAGTTTGTTAGTGTTTTACCATCCCAACTATCACTTCTTAATTATTTTGGATGCAATTTGTGGGTGGTGGTAGGGGAAAAAGTGGTTTAGGCAAGAAATTATCTTTTATTTCTAAAACAACTGGGAATTAATGGTAATAATTGGGATAGATCATGTCCTCCAATGCCACCCAGACATGGGTAGCTATATAAATTTGACAAATAAAATAAATGAATGAATGAATGAATGAATGAATGAATGAATGAATGAATGAATAAAGCTATAACCTACCCTTCTTACTCCACCCTTGTGCAGTGTAACAATGTTAAATTATTTATAGCAATAGCAATAGCAATAGCAGTAGACTTATATACCGCTTCATAGGCCTTTCAGGCCTCTCTAAGCGGTTTACAGAGAGTCAGCATATTG